ACGACGAATATTGACTGATATTCGTTTACGTATATCTTGAATTGCTAATGTACGGTTTAAACCGTGCTTTTTTTGCGTGGCCAACGCTATACGATATACAGACTAAGACAGCTAACTTGCACAAAAAATATCCAGTCTAGTTGTTGGGACAAATGCTTCACTTGTTTGTGCAAAAGCTCTACTAGCACAATTTGACTTGGTTGTTTCACACCATATGCAGCTGAAACTTGAGGAGCATTGCATGGTGCCTCAGATTATCAAGCAACTGCCCCTGATTACATACCATATGAACTAGCTGAACAAACTCAGAGTGTGTCACCTCCCTGTCAGCTTCACTTGCGGTACCAGATCCTTTTGTCTCAGACTTCTATGCTACAGCAATCAGCTGATTGACTAGCCTAGATCTAGTAGGATTCCCCATTTTATTAGTAATCTCATCCCAGGCAGACTGAGTCAATATAAATGAGATAGAGCCTTCTTCCACTATGCTATTGATGTGGACATAGCCTCTGTGGGACTGTTTGCATTTCCAGGATTAACTTTTCTGTAGGCTCTCATATGAACTACTACCTGCCTGTAGATGTCCTTTGGCTTAGTCAATGCCTTCTACTTATTTGTGAATTGCATGAATATATGATCAAAATCATAAACACTAGTATCGTCCTTGAATTCCAATAACCTGTAGTTGCAATGGTCTTAGGAGCATTGACAGAAAACTCTGTTTCTGGAGTGATCCTCTTCTTCTTCCTTCCTGCAGTTGGTTTCTTCTTTTTGTTGCTAGTCCTCTTCCTCTTTGTTCCACTTGTCCTTGTTGCTACTGTGCTGCTACTAGCAGTGGTGGTTCTGCTGCTGCTGCTGCTGCTGCTGCTTGGTGCATTTGTGCTGCTGACATTGCACTCCTGCAATTGTCATTGCTTGAATCTTCAACATTTACTACAAGTCAAGACCATTATTTATCAGCTGCAGCATAGTAGCCCCACTCCACCATCCTTTTTGCTGCTGACACTGCTGCTGGTCCTGCTACTGCTTGCTATGTTGCTACTGCTTGTTGCATTGTTGTTGTTGTTGTTGTTGTTGTTGTTGTTGTTGTTGTTGTTGTTGTTGT